AACCCTCCACCTTAGGTGTATGTGGCTGGCGCCTTAGCCGGTTGAGCTATAGGCGTCGAGCCAAGCCTATTTCTTTTTCTTGAGACACTCTTAATAGATACTCAGAAATGTTTAAGTTGAATTCTATTTCTGAGGTAATATATAAATCTTTGTATGATGACTAAGCAAGACAACTGCCTTTATTAAGATGAAAAATTAAATAGTGAAAGGAATGGTACTTTTTTATTTTTTGAGACACAGTCTCACTATGTCACCCTTGGTAGAGTGTCGTGGCGTCACACTCACAGCAACCTCAAACTCTCAGGCTTAAACTGTTCTCTTCCCTTAGCCTCTCAAGTAGATGGGACTACAGGCACCCACCCCAACGCCCAGCTATTTTTTTTGTTGCAGTTGTCATTGGTTTAGCTGGTCCGGGCCGGGTTCGAACCTGCCACCCTTGGTGTATGTGGCTGGCACCATAACCACTGTGCTATGGGCACCAAGCCTTTTTTTTTTCTTTTTTTTGAGACACAGTCTCACTCTGTTGCCTTAGGCTAGAGTGCCTTAGTGTCATAGGTCCCAGCAATCTCAAACTCCTGGGCTCAAGTGATCCTCTTGCTTCAGCCTCCTTCAGTGGCTAGGACTACAGGTGTGTGCCCTGTTCAGCAAGTTTTTCTATTTTTAGTAGAGATAGGTCTTGCTCTTGTTAACACTGGTCTCAAACTCCTGTGCTAAAGCAGTCCACCCACCTTGGCCTCAGATAGTTCTGGGATTATAGGTATGAGCTACTGTGCCCAGCCTGGAATAGTACATTCTTCCTCCTACATTCTTATTATCTAAAAATTAAAATTAGCCAGACATGGTGGCATGCTGTAGTCTCAGCTACTCAGGAGACTGACACTGAAGGATCACTTGAGTCCAGGGACACCCATTGGGCGTCTATACTAAATTCAGAATCAATATACTGACCACCGGGGGAGAGGGCCCTACCATGTTGCCTAAGGAGGAGTCAACCTGCCCAGCTCAGAAATGACACAGGTCAAAATTCCCGTGCTGATCAGTAATGGGATTGTGCCTATGAATAGCCACTGTACTCCAGCCTGGGCACCATAGTGAGACCCCCATCTCTTAAAAAGAATTGAAATTAATGAAAGTAACCCTTTATCATATTTGATTGTTTTAAATCTCTAAAATTAAGATTTTTTAAATTTTACTTTCAGAAGTTGGGATATCAAAAGAGGAAGCCTTAGAAACTCTGCAAATTATAAGAAGAGAATGTCTCACAAATAAACCAAGATATGCTGGTACATCTGAGTCAGGCAAGAAGTGTACAGCACTGGAACTTCTTGAGCAGGAGCATACTCAGGGCTTCATAATTACCTTCTGTTCAGCACTAGATAATATTCTTGGGGGTGGAGTACCCTTGATGAAAACAACAGAAATTTGTGGTGCACCAGGTGTTGGAAAAACACAGTTATGGTAAAATAAATTGTTCTCTTCTTAAGGGTGGGCTTAGTAACATATTACGTAAGTAATAGAGGGTTGTACTGTTGGTTTACAGACTGTAGACCAAAAGTCACATGTATATGCTTTTATTTTTATGTGTATGCATCAAATTAAAATCAACTTTAAATTACATTTGTGTTACTTTAGTACCCCATCTTGATAAATTGATGCAGTTATTTTGATATCAAAAAATATTTCTTTTGGGCGGTGCCCATAGCTCAGTGGGTAGGGTGCCAGCCACATACACTGAAGCTGCGGGGTTCAAACCCAGCCTGGGCCTGCTAAACAACAATGACAACTACAACAACAACAAAAAAATAGCTGGCTCGGTGCCTGTGGCTCAAGTGGCAAAGGGGCCAGCCACACACACCTAAGGTGGTGGGTTCGAATCCAGTCCAGGCCCGCCAAACAATGACGGCTGCAACCAAAAAATAGCCGGGCATTGTGGCGGGAGCCTGT